GCCACGCAGGGCTGGAGATCTCTCCAGCTTCACCCCCCTCCCCACCATGCCCTCCTGCCCCATACCCTTCTTGTGCACTCTGGATACGTGAAGGTTCCCCACAACTCATGACCTCATGCACTTGCTTTTTTTCCTCCAGGAACACTTTCCCCACAAGATCTCAGCATCGTTTTCACCGTTAAAAGCTCAGCTCAAACATCACCCTCCCCAAGAGCCTTTGGATGACTTAATCCCCGTTATGCCCACCCACGAGTCCAGCTGGCATTCTCCATACATCCCTGCTTTGTCCTCTGCCTAGCACATTTCACTGCTCATTGGTTTATTGGTTTCCTTGTTTAGTGTTTCTCTCCCCTTGTCTCTCTTTCTTCTTTTAAAAGTTATTTATTTGAGAGAGAGCCAGAGAGAGAAAGAACAGAGAGAGGGAGAAGCAGACTCCTCACTGAGCAGAGTGCCCGACATGGGGCTGTATCCCAGGATCCCAAGCTCATGACCTGAACCAAAGGCAGATGCTTAACCCACACAGACCTCCGCTTGTCTCTTGTTTGGTGTTGGTCCAAAGACCCGGGAAAGCATGTGACACAGACTTACTGCTCAGTGAGCACAGCCCCCCACACCAGCCTGTCTGGATTTCATCAACTCTCCGCATGTCTGGCCTCACAACCTGACGCTCTCCTCATACTTTCAGGTTCATGGAAACCTTAAGTCCTGTAAGATAGGCCACAAACGCATTTTTGGAAAAATGTTTAAACTACTCTCTGAAGGTGTAAAACCAACCAGAAAGTCACTAAAGCTCAATGTTAAGAGTCAATCAAAATTTCAAAGAGAAATTTGATGGAAACATCTCATGTTATGTTAAGTGAAAAGAAAAAAACGTGCAAAAGTCAAGGTGTAGGCAAGATGGAGCCTTTCCTCGTAGACCAAAGCCATGGTTTGGAATGAAGAAAGCATTTGTATAAGAAATCTCCAGGGAGTCACAGTGACCCCTAACTGTTCCTTCTACTCCGTCCCAAGGCAGATTGGTTTGCTTGTGTTGGTCCCCCTCCCTCACAGCTCCCCAAAGACTACCACTGGTGTGACTCATCTTTGTGCCAGCCCAGTACTCAGCACAGGGCAGGACGTCTTCCAGATCTGCTGAACAGAGCCAAGCCGCCTATGTATGAGATGGCAAAAATCACTTTATCAACATAAATGCTGACTACTACCCCCAAAATGCAAGACGAGCACAGTGCCTAGGGCTCCTTTGTGGGTCCCACCTCTGACATAGAATATTCGGAGCTCAGAATTCCCCCTAGGCTGCTGATTCCATGATGTCCCAGGACCAACCTGGATCCGGAAGCTCTTAAAGAATATGCTGACTTTTCCTTTCAATTACACCTGCAATTCTAATCTCTACCACCAGGCGGCAGTTAAATTTACACAAACGTTATTAAAACTAGTTTAATCTCCAAGACTGCACTTCTCATTAAAATATAGCCCAAATTAAAACAAGATACATACATGCACATATTTTTTTAACTTATCATATTGGCATAGATTTAAAAGTATGATAATACCCACAGTTGGCCAGGGTTTGGGGAAATATGCAACATTCCTACAGTGTTGGTGGGAATGTAAATTAGAATAATCCCCAGGAGGGCAATTTGGCACACATCAAAAGCCTTCAACATATGCAAACCCTTTGGTCCAGCAACTCAACTTCTAGATATTGATTCTGAGGAGATAATAATGGAAATACACCTGTATTTATTCCCAGGATGTGGATCATAGCGGTAAAAGACTGTCAATACACCATAACCTGGACTTGGGTTAAATTACACAAATGAAAAAATGCTATGTAGCTAGTACATTCTAGAATAATTCTGAAGGATGTGGAAACATCTCATGTTATGTTAAGTGAAAAGAAAAAAAAAAGTCTCCAAAGAAGTATGTCCAGTAATCCCATTTTTAGAATCATAAATGAAAACGAACTCACACATAACAAGTCCCAAAAGAACAACCACGGAGATATTGGGAAGACTTATCTGTGGGTGGGAGCATTATGGATGATCAGTTTTTCCTTTTTTGTGCTTTTCTCTATTTGGGGACGGTTTTCTAATAAACACGTGTATGTTGTCATCAGCAGGGAGCTATTCGTGACTTCTTGCACAGACAGGGGCAGGCTGGCCTCTTTGCAAGGAGGTTGTGCACAAGGTGACCATAGGCGCTTGTCAGTCTACAACCTGCCCCACTGTCCCGCTTGCCTCCTGCGCCCCAGGCTCCTGACTGCGGCTCTTAGGTCCACATATGGACCTGGTTTCAGCTGCTCTTGCTCAGGGGAGCAGCCAGCCTGGATTAATCCAGAACATAAGAACACACAGCATGCACAGTCTCCACCACAACCCACACCCCCCTTGACATTTCTTTTGGCCTCACTTCCTTTTGGGAAGTGACATGTTTTTAACACAAAGGAAAAAAAAAAAAAAATTCCTCCCTGCGGCTTGACGCTGGTCCTGCAGAAAAATACCTTCTCTTAAAACTGACTGTTCTCAAAGCCGTTTTCCTTTTCCAACATTGCCAGGGAATGTTGGTGGATCAGAGTGACTTCCTGGGTGCCAGGGTGGCTCAGTGGGTTAAGTGTCTGCCTCTGGCTCAGATCATGAGCTTAGGATGGAGTCCCAAGTCCTCTGGGCTCCCTGCTCAGCCCGGAGTCTGCTCCTCCCTTTCCCTCTGTCCCTCCCCCGCACTCACACTCTCATTGGGGCTTTCCTTGGAGAGGAAAGACAGCGGCATGGTCAAGGGCCTGCCGAATCCATGCTGCCCTTTGGCTCTGCACATGTTAGCCTGTATAATCTTCCATGCCCTTGACCTCCCTAGGCTCTGAGAGGCGGAGGACCCTGCCTGAGGCCACAGAGCCGAGCCAGGATCCCGAGTTGGGTCTGAGCGACTCCAAGCCCATGGGTACTCAGGACACGGGGTGTCTCTGTGGTGGCCTGGGTCTCTCCTGCTGTGGCAGCCACCCTAACCTCTGGGATGAGAATGGTGGAGCGATCGTACCCACCTCCCACCCCCTCCCCCCTCCAGGCTGGGAACCAGGCTGTCTATGGGTCAACAGACCTGAATTTCAGCTCAAAACACACGGACCCTGCGAGCCCAGCCAGGGAAGGGCGTCCCACCTGCCTCCTGCCCCCAAAGACCTGCTTTCCCCGCTGCAGGAGGCTGGTGGGGTGTCACTCCCAGCCCATGGGTATCCTAGAAGTGACCACCCAAGCAGTGGGACTCCTGGAACCAGGCTGCTGGGAGGCACACAGTTGGGCCTGGCTGGCTCCTGGTGCTCAAGGCATGGACACCTTGGACCCAGCAGGGGGCAGGTCCAGCCCAGCCGGGAAAGATGCCATATCAGTGTGGAAAGGGAAGCCCGGGTTCAAGCTGGGGCTAGGGGACCTCAGGAAAAGGGGCGCCCAGGCCCTGTGCACTCGTGGGTGCATGATCCGAGATTTTGACAGGGTCCCCTTACTCCTCGCCAGGCCTGGCCGCTTCCTTCCCAGAAAGCTCCCAACTTCACACCAGAGGGACACAATGACTGCGCTTCCATCCCCCCAACCCCCGCCCCTACCCCCGACCCTCACCTCCCCTCCCCCAACTCACGGAGCCCCATCTCTGGCCCAGGCTGGGCACCATGCCCTTCACATGCCAGACCTCAGGCTTAATTCCTTCACAGCCTAGTCACCTGCCTGCGGTGACCTTCGATGTTGGGAGGCTCCAGGCAGAACCTCACTTCACTTCACGTGGACCCCACTGCCCTCCTCACAGTGGGGGAGCTGGAGACTTACAGCCTCACAGCCAGTGAGTGGTCAAGACCGGCTTGATAAGTCCGCATCAGGGACCTGGGGGCTGGTCTGGAACCCCTGTCCTTTACCCCCACCATCAGTCAGCACCCTCTCTCAGGCTCACAGCTAGAGAGAAAGGAGTCAATATCACTCTATGCTCAGAGGAGCCAATATGGGGGACAAGGGAAGAAACCCATTCACCCCAGTCACCACCCACTCTTCTTGGGGCCCCCAGCTGGGAGGCCCAGCGCTGGCCTGCAAGCCCAGATCTGCCTGGTGCCCAGTGCTCGGGACTGGACTGCCATCCACAGCCCCCTGGGAAGGCGGCTCCCGCAGCACTTGCGGGGAGCACCCCAACCCCCGCCCCGCCCTCCACCACCAGCCTGTCCCCACTCTGGACAGAGCTGGTCATTAGTGAGGCCTCTGAATCAAGCCACATTTCCCTCCCTCTGTCTTCCTGGCCGGAGGGCACAGAACAACTTCCATCCTCCAACCGCACACCCCAGGTCCTGCCATGCTCTCCTTCCACCCCCCACCCCCGGCCGCTCGGATGTGTCAGGACTTCTGGATTTAGGGGCCCTGCTCCTTAACTTCTCTGAGCAGGACTAGACAACAGCACAGTTCCATGTAATTTCCCTTTTCCGGCAGTGCTCACCCAGCCCGGTTGGGGGGATACCGATTTCAAATATAAGTCAACTTTGAGGTTTAATTCAAAAGATCTGAGAAGTGATGACACCACAAAGACCACACGGGAACCAACCAGCCTCCTGATCCGATCCCTGAGTGCTGACAGGATGCCGGTGGGCTGGGACAAGCAGCCCCCTGCCTGCTGGGGAGAGAGAGGCTGGCGGCTGAGCCAGGGTCGGTGGGTGGGTGGGGTGCTCCACCGCCAAGGGCCGGACCCTCAGCTCAGCACCGACAGCCTGGGCAGCAAGAGTTTCTGGAAGATTTGGGATGCCAAGGAGTCTCCTCCTTGAGCCTCTCTTTGCTTTGCTTGCAGGACAGCTGGAGCCTCAGACAGATCGCAGTGCTCCTACTGCTAATCCTCCCTCTACAGACAGACCTCAGCCACTGAGAGCAGAAGGGCGGGGTGGGGGAGGGGGCAGGAGCGCAGACAGTTAAATAAAGGCTCAGAGGAAGAAGATCAGCTCCAGAGAAAAGGGCACAAAGAGCAAAAAATAAATGGCAAATTACCGGGTAGCCATCTCGTCCTGATTGCCCCTGTGGTAATTAATACGTCATTAATAATCAGACTTTGAGCAGAAAACCATATGGCAACACTTATAACTCAATCAGGCCCCCCCCCACCATGGTCCCCCCGACTTTCAGCGGGGTTTGCAGTAAAGGCTGATGGTTTGGTAAGGACTCCTGGTGTGTGTGTGTAGGGGGGCACTCAGGGCTCTGATGGGTCTGGGAGACGGTGCGTCCATTTCCTGCCTCTTGGAGCCAAGCTGGGGGAGGGGCGCCACCAGGAAGCACACCCACGTGGTTGGGGGGTGGCCGGCAGAGGGCACATGGCAAGGACCACAGGGGGACATGGTGATTCTGAAGGGTGGTGTCACCGCCACCATGGAAAAGGACTCCCCAAATCAGGGCTAGAGAGTAGAAACGGCTCTGGTTGAGGGGCAGACAGCCTTGAAAGCCTGAGCTACGGGGGTGGGGGGGCGGGGGGTGTAATTTCTTGCTCCCGGATGCTCCTCTGCCTGATGGGCTCTGAGCACTGACTGCCTGGCCACTGTCCCATACTCGGCACCCATCTCAGGCTGCAGCTTGAGAATTCTGCATTTGTTGAATACACCTAAGAGTTTAACAGCCAAGTAAAAAAAAAAAAAAAAGGGAAAAAAAAAAAAAAAAAAAAAGAAAGAAAGAAAATCACTCCTCTGCCCTCTGCGTTAGGCACTTCCAGCAAGTTCACACAGGCTAGCCTCCCCGTGACAGCCCGGAATGACTCAACAGCCAGAAACTGCCGGTGGCCAATACATCTACCCATCCTCGCGGGCTCGCCCTCTGGCCCAGTGTGGTGCCGCTGCACGCACGGAGGAGCTGCACCCCGAAGGGTGCCCATGGGGCAGGGAGTCATGCTAAGGGGAAGTCAAAAACAGAACTGTTCATCCGAAAGGCATTCCTTCAGAAGGTTCACTTGGGCTCAGGCGGACCGTCAGGGAGCTCCCTGAATGGATTCGTCAGGATGCATCCGGCTCTGCAAAAACTGCCAAGATGAATCAAAGACTCACCCGGCACGTCTTTGCAGAAGGAGCCCTGAGTTCCGGAGATCCGGGGCGCTGAGCTTCCCCTGCTTTCCGTGCTGCCCCCTGTGGCCAGTCCCTCGAGTGCAACGTCCTCCCCGCTCCCCACTCTGGCTGGCCGGGGTTGGGGGTTGCGGTGCTCCCTGGGCGGCTCAGCTGCCCAAACCTGGGAGGCAAACTTAGTTTGGCCAATCAGGAAAAGGGACCCCATGATTCCTGGCATTGCTGCCTGGCTCCAGAGCCCTTTGCGCCAAAGCACAGGAGGCAAAAATGTTTAAACAGATTAACTGCCGCAGAGCATTTAGAAAATGAGGACATGGCACTTGCATCTCTGTGCACCCGGGCTGAGCCAGAGAGTCCGGGAGGCTCAGCCAGACCCGGGCCAGCTCTCCTAGAAGGAAAAAAAAGTCACAGAATGCTTCACAGGGGGAAGTCAAGCCCATAGAATCCTGTGCTGGCATTCATCTACAAAATAAAGAAAAAAAAATATGGCTCCTGTCCAGGACTGATTTTTTTTTTTTAAAGGACACAACACACCTCCTTAACTAAAGATTATTTTCATGGAATAGTTACAGAAGAGAATGACATGTCTTATCTTTCAGGAACAGAGAGGATAATCCAGGACACTTACGGGAGGACCTGCAAAACACAAGCAGAGAAGCCACATTCAGCGTCACAGGGAGAGAGGGTCCCCTTGTCAGGGCCAGCCCCCCTCCCTCACACAGCTGCTGGGTGCCCCTCCTTGCAAGCCTTTGATGCTCTCACAGGCCCCAAAGCCAAGTGGCAGAGTAGAAGGGGTGCTTTTGTCCTTGCAGGGGCAGGGGTGGTCGTGTGGGTGGTAAGGACAATTCCCCCCAACCACCCACCCCGCCGGTGTATTGGTTCGGCGATCATTTCAGGGAAGCTGTTGATCCCTGTCTGGGCCCACCCACGTCTGGTTTGGGCAAAAGCCAGGTAGCAATCTGACCTGTTCCTGCCTGAAGAACAAATGTGGGGGCTCACCTGGGGTCAGTTCATTTCTACTGAAGGGGAAAGACCTGGGGAGAAAACATTTGGGGCAAAGGGCAGAGCACTCCTAAGGGTGCAGGTCTGGGTGTTGCTGAGCAGACAGGCAGGGGTGCCCGTGGCTCAGCCTGGGGTTAAGGGTGCTGGGTTGGGGTGTGCCTGGGGAAGCTGAAGGGACTGAGTCCAGAAACACAGGGGGCTGCTCCAGGAAAGGCTGGTGCAGCACGCTGACACCTGTCCCCAACACTCCCCCCCCACCCCCGCAACAGATGAGGACTCCTGGAGAACATCTGAGAAGCCCACAGGTGTCTTCTTTGCATCCTGGGTTACAAACCACATTGCATTTGACCTTCTCGGTCATCTTTGCGGGATGTGTGATAACAAGACGAGTGCCCAGGGAGAAAGCAATGACTTGTCCAAGGCCACATAGTGGGTTAAGGGGTAGAACTCATTCTAGAAAGAGTTCTCCTGACTCTTGAACCCCATACACTTTCCGTTAAAGGCATACTGTTCCCACCCAATCCAGTAAACTCTCTGCTCCCTGGAGGCCTCTGTCTGGATAGCGACATTGGCACAGGAAGGAGGGGACACTCGGCAGGCAGTTGGCCCACGCATATTTGTGGATCGCCACTGATGAGCCGGACCCCCACCCTGGCAGGGCAAATAAGGGGGCCCACGGGGGAATACAAGAGGCAGGCTCTCGGACTTGCAGAATCTTTCTGGGAAGGACAGATGCTTAAGAAATTGACTCAGGGAAAATGGAGCAACTTCCGAGCCAGGCGGGGGTTCTGAAGGGGAAAGATGATTAGGAAGGGGGAGGGAGCTGTGGGGCAGAGATGGCAAAGCCCCCAATGCACCAGGACCACTGGGCTTCTGAGGGGCTGGGGTCCACAGAGGGGAGGGGAGGGCATGGGGAGAAGGCCAGCCAGAGCTTGGTGCCCTGTGTCCATGCCATGAGATCTGAAGGGCAGTGGGAAGTAGTGGGCTGGAAGGGTCCTGCTCGGAGGAGAGGTGGGAGGCGTGAGAATGGGTGCAGGGGAGCTGTCCCCATGTAGGTGATGGTGGCCGGGACTCGCGTGCTCACAATGGAGAGGAGAGAAGTGAGTGAGAAGATACTTCTCAGTGAGGACCCACAGGATTTAATGGTGGGGGGTGGAGGGGTACACGGGGCATAGAAGAAGGAGAGAAAAGACAAAGGTCTTTGGCTTGAAAAACTGATGTATGGTAGTGCTCATGCCTGAGAATGGTAACGTGGTGGGGGGGGTGCTGTGGGTCCCTCGAGTCTAGACTAGGGTGGGGCAGGGCGCTGGTCATGTGGTCAGCTGCACGACAGACTTCTCACCTTCAGCTGGGGACCTAGTGCCTTGTTTTCCCAGGAAAAGAAAAGCCACTGGACAGATGCACCAACATCTTTCTGATGCTACATGCACATACCAGCCCGTACGTGCACCTGTCCCCAGCCTCCTGTCTGTGTCCAATCATGGAAGCTGGAGGAGCCGACCTGCCCTGCCTTCCAGGGACCCTGCACCCACAGCTGCCTCCCTGCCTCTTGCACTGAACCCACTTTCTCCAGCAGATGCTTTCCAACAGCTCTGGAATGGCTCCAATTCCTTGGCCAAAAGCCCATCCTTTGCTCACATGCCCTCTTCGGCTCTGGCGCTGGCTCTCCTCTCCCTCACTGCTGGGAAGAGGGCTCTCCTGTCACTGCCTCTAACTCCACGCCTTCCACACACCTCGTGACCCTCTGATAGGGGTTCAATCCTTAGAGTCCCCAGCCACCTGTTGCCACATTGGTCAGCCCGCCAAGGATTTCTCTTCCTCATCCCACACTGCTGAGTGAGCCCCGCCTTTTGGAAACTATCTCTCCCTTTGGTTTCCAAAAGGTCACGTTCCTCCCGCTTCCCTCGCTGTTCATCTGGCTTCATCCACCCCAGCCTCACACAGAAGCTCCTCAGAGCTCATGGGAAAGGCTTTCTTCTCTTCAGTTCTCCGCTGCACTCATCTGTCCCCACCTCTCCAGTCTTCCCCAGGGATCTCATCACATTCTTGACTACCCTATGCAGAAGCGTCCCACATAGGGGTCTCCAGGCCCAGCTGTGCCTCAAAAGCCCAGCCAAGGTGCGCAGACATGCTCCTGGTCTTCTGCCCACAAACGTGCTCCTCTCCTGGTTCCTAGTCTCTGTGGGTGATGTTCCCTTCCACCCCTGTAGTGACCCGGACAATGATGAGCCCTCCTTGACACGTTCTCCCTCTCCCATCTACTGGCACATCCACTCTGCAGACATTCACGGAGCACCTGCTGTTCTGGGCTCGAAGGACACAGCAGTGACCATGACAAAGGTCCCTGTCCTAAGAAGTTGACCTTCTAGCGAGGGAGGTACCCAAGATACCAAACAAGTACATCACCTATGAAATGACAAGTACAACGGAAAGAGAGGCAGCAGCGCAGGGGAAGGGGCGCACGGGGGCTGGTCTCTGGATGGATTCTGAAGGTGGAGCCAAGAGGATTTCTCTGGAGCATGAGAGAGAGGAGTGGAGAAAGACGCCACAATTCTAGCGGAATCACCGTAGGAATGGAGTTGCCATCGACAGAGGTGGGAAGACTGTGGATCGGGCGGGTTTGGCTAGAAGGATCAGGAGCTCAGTCTTATACACACACACACACACACACACACACACGGCACTCGGAGATGTCCCAACAGTTGGAAGTTGGGAAGAAAAGAGGGACCTCCTAGAAGCTGAGGGGAGAAAGTGCACTGAGGAGTAGGGGGTGGCTGCCTGTGCCCTGCGCTGCAGACAGCTGAGTAAGACGAAGACCGAGCCCAGCCTACTGGGGGCGCCTGGGTGGCTCAGTCTGATCAGTGTCTGCCTTCAGCTCAGGTCAGGATCTCAGGGTCCTAGGATCGAGTCCCACATCGGGTTCCCCCATTAGTGGGGAGCCACTTCTCCCTCTGCCCTTCACTCTGCTCGTGCTCTCTCTCTCTCAAATAAATAAATAAATAAAATCTTTAAAAAAAAAAAAAAAAGACCATCCATGGGCTCTAGCCTCGTAGGGCTAAGGGCAGGGGGAGGGACAGATATGCAAATCTGGTTGGAGATGGCTTCTCCAAGAGAAGGGCGAGGAGGAATATGGGTAGTGAGCACTTTCAAGGAGTTTTGCCCCAAAGGGTTGCAAATACACAGAGCAGGTGCTCTGGGGACATGGGGTCCAGAGAGGGCTACGTCTTCAAGATGAGAGACACAGCCATACGCGTGCATAAGGGGAGTCATCCGTAGGGAGGGGAAGAGGTTCCTGGAGTGACGACCTTGAGGGATGGCACACAGAGGTGGCCCTGCTGGGGGCGGGAGCCTGGATATACACATGTGGGTCCGGCATTTAGTGTCACCAGCCAGCGGGGGGATGCTTCCCTCAAGCTGCCAATTGCCTCGCAGGGGCTAGAGTGTGTGTGCAATTTGAGCCAGACGGGGAGATGTGGTGGGATCCATGGGCTGGAAGACGCATGAGATGGAAGGAAGGTGGGGGTCAAGGAAAAAGGCAGTGGGCTCGGGTGAGCTGTGTGGGGTTCACAGGTGCTGCATTTGCTGGTGATGATGGGGCACTGGTCAATACCGTGGGAAGGAGGTCAGCGGAAGGTCCAGCTCACTGAAGGAGCTCTGGGTGTGTGAGGGGCATCTGTGTGCATATCTAGATTCCCAGGAATTGACCCAGAAGGAGTTTTGGTGGGAGGGCTGCAGACCCAGGAGCTCAAACCCAAAAGCAACGAGCAGGGTGTGCCGCGGTCCGGCCTGAGTCATTGCTACTCCAATCTCCACTCTGGGGCCAGGGTGCTGTTTTCAAGACACAGATGGACCTGAGTCCAAAACATGGACCCCCATGCCCCCAGCCTTCATCTTCTCATAGTTCCTAGGGATAAAAGCCCCAACGTTACATCACATGCTGCGATCTGTCCCTGACTCTCCACCTGAGCCCCTGGAGCCCGTGGGAAGAGGGGCAGTGCTACTCAAGGGTTCCAGGCAGTCAGGTGGTTATCAGGACAAACTGAAGCTGGATCTGTGCCTCAGCACGAGCCGGGATAAATTCCAGAAAGATCAAAGACTTACATGTTAAAAAAAAATCATAAAAATCCTAGAGGAAAACAGACCCATCAATAAGGAGTACAAACTGGTGGTTGCCAGAGGAAGAGGGAGATGGGCAAGATGGGTGAAGGGGGGGTGAGAGATACAGGCTTCCAATTACGGAAAGAATAAGTCATGGGGATGAAAGGTACGCAGTAGGGAATATAGTCAATTATAAGGTAATAATGTTGCATGGTGACAGAGGGTAGCTGCACTTGTAATAAGCACACACAACCTATAGAGAAGTCAAATCACTATATTGTGCCTTGGAAACTAATTTAACACGGCGTGGTGAAGATACTTCAATTAAAAAAGAAAATCCTAGAGGAAAATTCCTTTCTAACTGTGGAGAGTGGAAGGCTTTTCCAACTATAGTCCCTAATCCAGAAGCCATAAAATCAAAGTCGATTCAACCATATAAAACCCCAAATGCCTACAAGGCTGAAAGCACTGTAAGCAAAGTCAACAGTGGAAGTGGGGACAATATCTCTGACTCAGGTCACACAGGCTGATGTACC